CGTCAAATGGTAATGTTATGCCATCTATGCCTAGGATGGTCGATTTTATTTTTTATTTTAAAATAAAAAATCTTACAAAAAATTGTAAAGACAAGTGTACGTATCACTGAAATACACTAAGATGACAAGATTGCTTTGTTACACCAGTTATTTTTCAATTGAATACAACATAAATGATGGTCATGGAAAGTCAGATCTGGTAGTGGCGGGCAACCCATCACAGGTTTATAATAAGCCAGGCACCCACGCTGTAAATAAATAACATCATAGTCAATAAACTAACATGACGATGATTGTAATAGATAATGCCCATTGCCTCTTAAAACTGTTCACTCATTTTGGTCGATAATCCGAACGGTTATTGAGAACAGTTCGCGGATAAAGCGCGGGAAAGTAATCCCGAGAGCCTTTTCGGGCGGTCGGCCAATCATTCGTCAAGCGGCCGTAAATCTTGGGGCCGGGCGGGCGGGGGTGCGTTGGCGGCGGCGCGGGGGAGAGGGGGAGTGCTTACGTAACATCCGGAAGTGCGGATTAGGAATCAATAGTTGCCCGTAATGATAGTTTCGAGTAATGGATGTGACTGCGCTGCGTCGTGCGCGGCGGACGTTTCTCGCGGGATTTTCACGCGCTCGAGACATGCTTTATATCGCTCCTAGTGTATGAGGACGAGTCATAGTTACATTTGGATGATAGGTCATAGATTCATCTGATGTAAAAATTAAATACTTAACACTGAGCAATTAAAATATTATGTCGAATGACAACATGCGATACGACTCTGAAATTGAAAATATAATAATTAATTAATTTTTTGATAACAAATTAAGGACAATTTGTTTGATATGGGAAAGGATACTAATAATTCTCATAGAATATATGAAAAATTAGCGAAGGGATTATTTAGACCGATCAATTTTACCGACATACGTTTTCACTTTCCCGTAGGATTTGACGTAATATTACCGAAGTATTTCTGCGTTTCGTCCGTTGAGTGAGTTAACCGGGGACCGCTTGCTAAAAAGGGTGGCAACGTATCCGATATACCAAAAATGTTCCAGATGTCGATGGACGGCGGTTATCACTTAATACAGGTGAACCACCCGCTCGCCTGCCACCTTCTTACATAAAACTTATATGAAACATTATCACAATTAACTCGCAAGCTTATTTAAATCGGAACTATACTGACAGGCTCAGTCACGATGACTACGTTGTCGCAGTGGCTGAGCTACGGGCTTCGGCGTCGCTGGTCGCCGGGGCGATCCCACAGGGGACAAGTGTGACCAACAAATAAATCACCGTAATTTTCATACAGGATATAAAATAAAAACTTACGTATGTAGCAAACCCTACGCTTCGCTTTGAGACGTTGAACAAATTTGTGATTTTTTTTTTATTTAAGCAGTCCAGCATTACCCGGTTTTTGGGTAAAAAATAAATAATGTGAGAAGCGAATAAAATGTTCACAACTAGTATTTACAGTTACAATGAAGTCGAACATTTATACCACGTAACGCTTAAACTGTTCCTGCTATGCATTTAATTTTAAAACAAGTTTGTTTTATGCGGTTGTTATGCTACGGATTATTTATTTAACTGAATAAATTTTCGATTGAACTTTTATATATTACTTTTTGTTATTGAAAGCAAATTCACCAAATTGTCAGACACTTGTCAGACAACGTCCCTAATAATATACGCATGAGTATATGTGTGACCTTAATCGTAGTGTCTTAACAAACTCGGAGCTCGTAGCAACTATGTAGGAGTACCTAAAAGGGAGACCATCATTCACGGAAGGCAGGACACACAAAACATTTCTTGGTCTGACGGCAAGACAGCTTTTAGGTTGTTGTACTGAAGCTTGTCTTTCAAATGCGAGGAATGTAGTATATTTCGTGCAACTTGCAAATAAAAATCGGAGATATGTTATCTGCCCACCCAGTTAGGAGGCAGGCGTTAGTTTGTTTATCGTTTATTCCAAGACCTTTAGTAGGAAATTACGCACTCACTCTGCCAGTCAAAGTCGAAGTCAAAATTTCTTTGTTCAATTCATTAGGATAATTTTAAGCTCTTTGACTACCGCCAAACAACCTAACTAAAGATAACCAGAGAAGAACCGGCAAGAAAAGATCGTGTTGTTTTTTTTATGATACAAGTATACAAAATTATTGTCATTAAAAAAAAATCAGTCCACCCGGGCGGGAAGATAAATGTTGATCTGTGCAGTTCAAAGTAAAGCTTGGTGTTATTTAAATAAAAATTCGTACATAAGTTGAAATAAACAAACATGCACGCAATTATTTATAATTAAAACTTGCTGATACAAAATTATAAGCCCATAAATGCAACATATATATAAACATAGCATTCACATTGAGTATATTTAAAAGTTTTCTCAAAACTGTGTTTAGTATATTTTTAACAGACTTCAAAAGAAGGTTCTCAATTATACTGTATTTTTTTTTTGTTTGTTACCTCACAACTTTTGACGGAGTAAACCAATTTTGATGATTCTTTTTTTATTTGAAAGCTGGTGCTTCCCCTGTGGTCCCATATTAATTTCATTGGTTTTGGATCTTGGGCTCCGGGGATACTCAGGGAACTCCTGAAAGTCAATTATAAAATTAATACAGAGCGAAATATTTGAAGTCGGATTTGTTTTTCGTTAATAAAAAATGGACTTGTTAAAACCGGAAACTTTTAGTTCGCCCCACAAATAAACATAGTATTGGGAACATTAACAAGTTTTCTCAAAACTTGTGTTTAGTATACTTTTTAAAGACTTCAAAAGGTGAAGGTTCTCAATTTGACTGTATTTTGTTTTTCATGTTTGTTACCTAAGAACTTTGGGCTGATTGCACCGATTTTGATGATTCTTGTTTTATTTGAAAGCTGGTACTTCCCATGTGGTTCCATATTAATTTCATTGGTATTGGATCTTGGGCTCCGGAGATACTCAGGGAACTCCTGAAAATCAATTATAAAATGAATACAGAGTGAGTTATTTTAAGTCGGTTTTGTTTTTCGTTAGTAAAAAAATGGTTATTATTAACTATTACTTATTTAGTGTTTGTATTAAGCAGGCACTTAAGCAGCGCAAATCGCAGACACGAATCACTTCGTTTCTCGGAAGCCGTGAATCACCGACGTCGCTAAGAGGAAAATCGATTGAAGCCTCAAACTCGACAATCGTAGCGTCGAGTGCCCGGCTCGGCTTAAAGTACGGCGTCGGCTGCACTTTTTCGTTTTAACTGATCCTTTACGGATATTAATTGTGGGAGCACAGCGGCCTAGTTAGAGGGGAGTAATGGATATTAGATGTCGGTATTTCCTAGTGGAGCCGCGTTTATAAGGGGAGTGTTGGCGACTGTGATGGCCGTTTTCAATCCCCGATTCTCCATCGTTGATAATATATTTGAAAGATTGTGTCTTTTTAGGGTCCCGTGCCGTAAGAGTAAAACGGGACCCTATTACTAAGACGCCGCTGTCTCTGTCTCTCTATTCGTCTGTCACCAGTCTGTATCTCATGAACCGTGATGGTTAGACAGTTGAAATTTTCACAAATGATGTATTTATGTTGCCGCTATAACAAAAATATAAAAAATCAGCATAAAAAATGTTAAGTTGGGCTCACATACAACAGACATGATTTGATTTTTTAGATAATGGTACGGACAATTTGTGTGCGACGATTTGTCGAATATAACCGCTTGTATGTGGTTGAACACTTGCAGGGTGGTATTTTTTGCCTTAAATTGTTTATTTAACTAAATGATTGTTCCGAACAGAATTCAATTTTATTGTAACGTATTCACAATATGTTACAATAAAATTAAATAAAAATGTTTTAATTTGCAAGTTAACGTTTAAAAAAATGGAAGTTAAATATTTTCAAATGTGACGTCATGCTCGCTATTGACTATTGGATCGTGGACGGGATTTTCGAAGACTTAAAAAGCAAGCTAATCAGTGCAGATTCTGGAAGGGGTCCAAATTATTGCGTGAATATATTGACCTCACTAGGATTTTGTAAACAGTTCTTGTATATACAAGCACTGTTTACCACTGTGATCCATTGTAGTCTTACCATTGAAAACATGACCCCTTAATCTGGGATAACATTATCCTATATTGCGAGGACGTTTAACGTACATATATTACATCTAGACGCACACCCAGATCCGAGACAATTATCCGTGGGTCACACAAATAGCTGTCTCGTGTGGGAATCGAATCCACGACCACCGATGCCGAAGCCAATACCTTGACAACTGCGCCACGGAGTCATCGAACTGTGTTTACTAACTGCTTACTGTACTTAAGTGTACTTTGTACATGAAATGTCTGTCTGATTTTTGATTTTCAGCTTGAAAAATACGGAAAAAAATATATTATTTAAACTTTGTATATATGTCTTTTTATTATTATTATATATAAATTTATATGTAGATATGTATATATATTTTGTATCTATATATATATATATATATATATATATATATATATATATATATATATCTTATATATATAGTTCTTGTATATTTTTACAATTACTCTGGTAAATTTTTTAATAATGTACACACCTTCACCTAATTATATAGTATTATGGCTTCGTGTTCTCAAGGGTCTGCTGGAAGAGAACTCTTTTTAGGGTTAAGCTCGCCTTTGTACATGTTTTTGTCATTTGTTGTCTGTATTATGTTGTCTGTATTATAATTGTGTACAATAAAGTAAAAAAAAAAAAAAAAAAATTAGACGTACTGCATAAAAAGTTTGTTTCATAAATCTTTTCAACATAGCCATACGTCGATGGAGAAAGTAACATTGTTTTTTTTTTTACGAAGGAAAGCTGCGAATAAGTACGGGAAGGGAAAACAAAACACTTCCACGTAGCGGTGTAGAATTATCTTCGCGTTCCGAACGTTATCAATCCGATATATTTGGGAAGGCTTCGCGGGCTTCCTGTGCGTGCTGCGCCCCGCCTAAATATAGCCCGGATGGTCGGGGGCGGGCGGTGTGGGGTGGGCAGGGGGGCGAAGTGTCGGAAAAGGTCCGCCGATCGCCCTCCATTGTTCGTGAGGAATTTCGCGCGATTGAAGTTTAGCGTTTCGTTTGCGCCGCTCAAAAGAATGGGAGCGTCTTTATCTTCTGGCTGTTTTGCATTTACTGATTTTTGAAGAGCTCGCTATTGGTCGATGGTGGTCATCTTCAGTCGATTGAAAGGGACGATTTAACTGTTGATAGTTTAATGCATTCTCTATTGAATTGGCGCGTTTATCATCTACTAGAATTTACCGCTAATCATCTGATTAAGATTGATCGCCATCTCATTCAGTTGTTTAGAGCGATAGATTAAAACGTAGGGCCTCCTGTAAAGCAGATAAATAGATGTAGCGACCCAAGAAAATAGTAATGTGTTTTGAGTTTTAATTCTCGTCGAAGATCACGACACCGATATTTTTAGTAGATAATGAAAGTAAAATAGTAATTCGTATTATTGTCGCAACATTCCGTTGTGTTTAAGTAATGAGAAAATTATCTTTACGTGTATGTCACTGAACTCCTCCTAAACGGCTGCACCGATTTTAATGAAATTTTCTGTTTGTGTTCAGGTCGATTCGAAAGTTTAGATTCACAATTTTTTTTTAAAGTTGTCGGATTTAAGTAATGTGTACAGGACGACGTCTGTACGGTCCGCTAGTGTATATGCTTTTGACATAGGTCGAATCAAATTGATATTGACTAGCACCAATACTTTTATATAGTTAAATAAAACTATTACACGGATTTTGTCGCGTTTTCGGCGTGTTCACAACGTTCAAGGTCACGGGACAGACTATAAAGTATTTGTATTGAATCTATTGTATTTACGCAAATACTGTAATGTATCGTACATGCGTCGATACAAGAAATCGTCCTACTTTTACGGCTAGGAAGACGAACAAGACTCTTAGTATCTAAGAGTCGAAGCCTAGAAAACGAGAGAATAAAAATTTAACGAATTTATTTTAGTTGTGGCTGCATGTTACAGTTACTGTAGTTCCCTACATTACAGAGCCTTTTGGGAGCAGCGATTGGGGCCCATTTCTTCGTTACAAGCTAAGGGTAGGTCCAAGCCTGGCTCAGGTGTAATCGCTGAGGTATCGCACGCACTTCCCTATTACGGAATACGGAAGGCACAGCGCGGTGATTTAGGGATCCGTCGACTCCTGCGTTTAGTCTTAGGTTTAGGTAGGTATTATTTTATGAGAGATGATGGCAGACTTAATTGTTAGCGATGAACATTAGCTACGGTGCGTTCGCAACACCAGAGTTGAAAGTGTTGCCAAACTCAAAGTGTTTTTAAAAGATTTTTAAAAACACTTCAAAGTGGTGCCGGCGGTAATTGTACATTAAAGCATAAGATTGTGTTGAATGTATGAAGAAATGTAAGATTTAATTATAGATTTAAAACTCATATAGGATATTAATGAAATTATGTTTTTCTTACCAACCTAAAAATCATTTCACCAATACTTTGCTTTTAATAGCCTGGTTAGATGATGATAAACAAATCACACAACACTTATTAACCCCCGAAACTTGTCTAAGGCCTACTAAAGTTCAAAACAGCGACCCCGACGGGAACGCTCAGTGACCCTACACCACCGAATTGATACGGAACCACTTGTAAAAAATTCCGCTCTCGCTTAGCAATTTCCACGTGTCGCGTGACGGCGCCGCGTCGCCGATTGCCCCGGCTAGCTTCCGCGGCCAAATTGCCCACCGAATTACGCGGTACCCCCTTCCACGCAATTACAGCATGCTTTTCTATTAACGCAGGTACGTGGTGCTGTGAAACTTGGACTCTAGAATACGGGCTCGGATTCGTTTGTTTTGTTTTCGTTCACAAATGTAAGTTTATGTTGCGGTAAGATATTTATGTACACGTATTGTATGTAGACGTATGCAAGTCTCTACTTTTTATAAATATGGCATAATTTCATAACCGAATAGTTTGATGCCGATTTGTGTAAAGTCGTTTTTATATTTTGAAGGTACATTTACATATAATTAATGCCGAGTTTTAACTTTAGGTGTGACTCTACAAGTACTTGTCACTTTAGGTCATATTCATACAATGTATTTGTCTAGACGATGGCTTATTTTTGGATTATATACAACCCCACCAGCAGGAAAAGGTAAGGTATGCAGGTCGAGGTAGTCTGAAAATTCATTTCATTAAACATCTTAATACGAAGTGACCCATTTGGGCTTTTTAGATAGCTTCTTTCTTTTCAACTCCTCCTATGATCAAGATATATGAGCGTTGACGATCGCTTGTCATTAGGAGTTGCTTCCCATTCCCGTTTTTGCGAACACCTCCACGAAAATTGTTCAAAACATCGGTACCGAAAATATCTACAAATGTACATTCTGACTGTGCAATTCAAAAAGTTATGATTCATAACTATTTACTTGGATGTATAAGCAAGATGGAAGTGATTTATTTAGTTTGTCCCTTACAAGAGATCATTATGGTATTTGATATAAAGTCTAACGTAAATTCAGAACTCACTGATACAAACCGCCCTTCAATACGTCGTATCCGCGGAAGAGTGCGTAATTACGGTAGGTGTTGCGGGATGAGCCCTGATTAGTGACGGTCAGGTGGGCGCAGCGGGGGGAAGGGGGGGGGGGGGCGGTCGATACTACCTCACCCCAACTACAGCCCCCCTGCAATAAACAGTGGGGGTGCCCTACGATCGCCTGAACTTAAGTATTGATTCGCGCAAAACGTGATTTGTACGCATTCGTCTTGAGGTCGGGACGGACGAGCGCATTGTGGATGTACCCCTACATTCGCTGACCAACGACGGTCCAGTTCTGCTAGGAGCGACTGATCTCCATTGCGGTGGGGTGATGGATGGTGCACAGGCGATGGGGTCGGCGCGGTGTCCGCCACGGGGCGGTGTTTACGCGTTAACCGCGGTCAATAGGGCCCCCGCCGCGCCTATCTAGTGTCTTCGTCGTAACTCCCATCGGTCACGACATCTAGCGAGTTATTGCTGGCGGCCGACGGAACCCTAATTGACACCCTGATATTCAAATGTCGCAATATTAATAGCGGCCCCTAAAAATTGCCCCGTTTTTATAACTTTGTTTGCGACTGTACCCCACTTTGTTTGCCGCCGCGGCAATTGATGTGACCGTTCTCGGACGATACGAACAGTTTACCGTGCCATTATTGTTTCCCTATTTATTGTATAATGATGAACAAGAGTTATAGGTGCCAGTGAACACGCCGCTTTAACAGAAGATTCTGAGACATTTGCTTGACAACTTGCCACACACTACTTGATTAAAATATTAGAATACAATGGATATAGAATGCTATGGTTTTGAATGAATAACGAATTTTCGCTCACACTGTCGATGTACTCGAAATTTGACATACGAATATTTTGCAATGGATATGTGGGTCTCGCTATGTGGGCTATAAAATTAGAACGTCTATTTTTAGAGATAGTTGTTATTTGTTAACACTAATACTGAACGTGTAATACTAATACTGAATAATTCAGTTGATTTCTTACTGTAGAGCCGTGATAGCTCAGTGTCCGGGCGCTCGATTTAATTTTAATATACTCAACCAACCTGAGTTCGATCCCCGGTGCGGGTGCGGTGGGCAGGCTTGTCCGGGTAAGTACCACGACCTCACAGAAGACCGGCGTAAAGTGGAAGTATGAGAAATACTTTCGCGTTTCGTCTGGTGAGTAAGGTAGCCGGAGCCCAATTTCCAAAAAGGTTGTCAGCGCATCTGCAAACGCTCGGGTGTAGGAGATGTCCATTGGCGGCGGTATTCACTTAGCATCGGTGAACCGTCTGCTCGTTTGGCAATTTTTCACATTAAAAAAAACGATTTTAAAATAATTGGCATTCGATTTTGGGTCGAATAATTGACCGTAGTGCCAATTGTCAAATATAAGCTGAAAATTATTGGCATTGTTAAACAAAAGGTAATAGCCAAAAAAGATCCCACTGCTGGGTACGAACCCGTTATGAACTCTATCTTCTTCACTTAGATGGATTTTGTATATCTAAATGTGTATTGTTGCCAAAATATGATATCATATCTCTTCATATTTTTCTTTATCGCTTAGTGATATATGAAAAACATTTAAAAAGCAATAAAGAACTTGGGAAAACCGGATTCGATATTGGATTTATCATGAAATTGAGCCACCATAGCAATGTAGGAAGGAAAACGATAAATACATATTATGGAAATATTATCATGAATAAGAATCGAAACACGAACGCGTTTAGTGTCTGTTCTGTATGCTCTATGTTGTTTTTTCTTAATTTATCAAGTTTATACAATAATTTTTCCTACCCCAACAATACAAATTTTGCGCAACCAATCTTATCGAGTTCTCATAGTTGGACAAGGTAGTTTAGTTCTGTATTTAATATATTTATGTCACACAATGTATGTAAAAAAAGTAGCCCAAAGCTTCTTTCACCGGTTCTTCTCAGGTCAGTGGCTTCCTTTTTCGAACCGCGGTGGTGTTTTTTTACTGTCAATAAGTGAGTGTAACGCTCGTGTGTTGAATAAAGTTATTTGAATTTTTATTTGAGCGACCGGCTACATATCGAAGACATCGTGAGTTCATGACCCCAAGTTTAGTCAAACGCGGAGGGCAGTAGACCAATCATTGAAATCGAAATGATGAGTTTAATTGAACTCAAAAGTGTTATTAACTGAGTAAAGTTTTCAATTTCCTTTCGTTTTAACTTAGTTTTCTATTTTGTTATACGTACCTAATATTTCACATCTAAGATGCACGTTTGTGTTTCTTGTTTTTTATCACTTTGATTTGTTGTATTTATTTTTTACCCGAGTGCCGAAGGGAGATAATGTTTTTCGAGCGTTTATGTTTCTCACCTTTCGTAATGCATTACAACAAAGGAATTGCTTTTAAGCGTCAATTTGTTGCGATGTCTAATAAACTCATGTTAAAACCTTATTAGTTTAATAAAATAAAGCCAGAAACATTATCATCATCGGCCTGAAGAGAACGTAGTACCTCCCACTTAGAACGCCATAAGGAACGACATTTTGCCGTACTACTATTTTTGGCAACAAAAAAATAAGTCATACCTTGAGGTTGTTGGCAACACAAAAAGAAGAGTCATTCTATGTGGTATAAATGAAGCACGAAGCATTTCACGGTCCTCGTCTTTGACTGTTAACAAGAAGTATACGCGATAGTGCTGCCCAATCGGTATCACAAATTATACCGTTCAAGCTGTAATTCTTTAGTCTAAAAGTGGAAATAAGTGATTATAACAGTGTTGTTGTTGTGCAGAGTGAAAACATGGTGATTTGGTAAAAATGTTTATATATCTACCTTCATAACTCGATAAAACAAGGTAAAGCTAACACTATTTCATCGGTCTACAGGTACAGGAGGAACTACAACTAGAGCAGCAACAGATAACCTCAAAGTAGAGAGCCGAAGAAAATAAAACTCTTTAAAAAAACTTAAACTACCTTCAAATTTCCTCCAGAAGTACAGAGGCTACTTGCTTACGTATTGTAAATCTTAAACGGAAATTCAGACATTAATTATATGTCATGTCTTAGTTAATTTATTGTTCTCAAATCAGTGCCCATTATCTTAATGATAAATAAAGTACTTTAATCTGAACGTGCTTCGAGCTTAGAGGCTAGAGTCCTAGTGATTTAGTTTTTCCTTTTCTACCATTTCTTTCGTGTAGAAATTTTCACTGAGATAGGGCCGAGTGGCAGTTTCTGCAATTGTAAAATGGCATACCTACCCATTTACCATTTATTACTCGTCCGGGAAAGTACCGCAGCCTCACAGAAGAACAGGTTGAAGAGGAAGTGTTATGCTTCCGCGGTTCTCCTGGTAAGTGAGGTAGCCTCGGCCCACATTATTAAACGGTTGCAACGCCTTTGCAACCTTACGGTCGTTCCCAATGCCAATGGGCGATGGTTATTACTTAGTATCAGGTGAACCGCGATCTCGCTTGCCACCTTCCCACATGAAGAAAATTAGAAAAAAAATAAAAAATTTACGGGTCTGTATTCAGTTAAACCGCCTGTCATTGGTTATTATAGTTCTCAATCTATCCCATTCGGAAGAAAAGTCGCAGAGCCTCCTCAAAAGACTCGCTTCCCCGACTTAACAGACAGGCCACATAAAGATTGCGTTTTGAAATTATCAATGAACACTTCAACATTTATATTAATAAAACAACACGCATTGGACCCGAATGTGTCGTCTAGACATGTCTCCGTAACGGATTCCGTGGAGTTAATTATTCGCGTCCTAAATTATCTGTTACGAATGTCCGGTTGTAAGTTTACTGTTATCAAGAACGAATTCAAATTAAGAAAACAAAACGACATTTGTTTTCATTTCGACAAACGCAAAGTTCGTTTCCATTAGTTTTTTTAATTTCAAGATTTGAATTTCACCGCTGTTCGTGTGGGTTCTTTAACATTAATAATAATTGTTGATTTCTCAAAAAAATGTGTTATTACAAATGATGGCTGTATATGTTAATTTTATAACTTTGCATATTGTGGGAGTCTGATGCAGGAAATTAATCTCAAAGCTTGTGTTTTCTGATTGTCAGGTCCCCTTATAGATATATCAGTGCATTGCCAGTTTAAAAGTCTCTTAAAGTTTCTGTTTGAGTATGAGTGCTAATTAGCATATCGGCATTATATTTTAAAAAGTGAACATGTAATTAAAACTAAGATTTGGTTTTTAATTAACTTGCGTACGAGCGTGTTCGTATGAATTACATTGGTTAAAGAATCTACAAAATTTAAATATTTCTTAATGAAAAGCGTATATTTAATTAATCTAAGAAGTGCTTTCTCTATTTTAATGGAAGTTCATTAACGCCTTTGCTACAGATATACTGGGAGCGGAAATCGATGAACTATTTTAAGGCTTATTTTAACCGCTTCTTCGAACTTAATATTATTCCCATATCATAAGTTTTCCGAGATACCAAAAAATATCTACATTACTTGAATTTTTTTTTTACTTTGAATTCCAAATCAATTCATCCACACAAACAGTGATAGCTCGTGTCCGGGCGCTCGGTTTTAATTTCATATGTTTGAAGAACCTGAGTTCATCCACGGTGTTGGCACCAATGAAATTATCAACCACCGGCCCGATGGTCCGATGACATTAAGGAGACAGCAAGCCCAGTCTGGAAGTGCTGGAAGAAAATTGACTTATCCCAACACGCTCATGGTTGCAGCGATGAATTAATCAGCCATTTATACAATTCGAAGTTAATATAGACCCTTGCAGATAATAGACGCGTAAACCTTCTGTTTAGATTTCCTCAACGAAAGGCATCTTTATCATCGATAGAGGCAATGCAGATGACCAAGAAATAATTTTTTATATGTGCCTTCGCCAAGGTTTAACAGACGACCATTATAAAGCAGAATATTCGTGTGGTGAGTGAGGATGTTGAAGACGGTGATTATTCAATATCAGGTGAAGTACCTGCTTGCATAAAAACTATTTATTGATCGTGAAAATGTTCCAAAATATCTTGCCGGTTACTCTGACGACTGGTGTAAATAATAACCAGCGGTAGATCTTAACATAAAAGTTAGATACAAAACATTGGAACAAGTTGATAAAAACTTAAGAAAGATACATCGTTTTAAACCAGACTTTAAAGGCGACGATTCGCCTCACGCCTGTACGCCTACGCGCACACGCGCAGTTGAATTTAACATGCAAGCGTTATTAAAACTCGATGAAAAGAATGCCATTACTCGAGGGTTGCCGATTCGATTTTCACGATCCCGTCGCCTATTCGGCCGGCCCGCGATTATCTGTTCAATGGACTGCGGTGGGCGCACCCCACTAGGGGGCGAGGGGGCGCCCCTGATGAAAAATGGCGCAATTAGCGGCGCAGACAGTGAAAAACAAGTGCACTCTATCCTGCCCCCCTCCCGCCGCCCGCACCCTGCACCCACCCCGTTAGTGACAATTCAAATGGCCACTGACAGCGACTAGTAACTGAATAGGCTTTTGCTATGTAAGATACTTTGAAAGGCGAAGGCCTTGTAAGAGACAGCCCACCATGTGCCTCTATAGTTTTCAGTTTTTTTTTTTTATGTAAGACGAAAGTACGGAAATATATAATTAGAAAAGCTTTCGTTTACATTTTTCCCTGGAAATAAAGCAGCGATGATCATTTCAATAAACTTTTTTGTTTGTAATTGCTATTATGTAAGTTTATTTAATTTAAAATGTGCCGATCATTTAAGTTTTAATTTAATAAAGCCATAAAATGTGCGGAGTGGAGAGATCGTAGAGGAGTATTTTACCCTGATCTAACGATCCCGACAGACTGAGAACAAACATGGACATATCACGAATATAAATGTATATTTGTCTTGCTACCAGTAAATTGATAGGCGGTTTTCGACGTTGCTTATCCAAAACACAAATGATGTTTCATTTGTGTTTGTTTTATTTTATTTTCTGGATAGGTTAACGGCGCGAGATTAAAAGAAATAGTTGAAAAATAGTACGACGACGTGGTCAAAGGTGAATACATCTGAGGAATCTGTTCGAAGCTCGTTTTATCAGAGCTTAATCAGGGAGACGGTGGTAAGGCAGCGTTGAGTTAGGAAAGATTGTTGAAAGCTTTTGAAAGAGTATTTTTCTACAATCGCTTTTGTTATTTATATAGTTAAAGGATCACAAATCATAAAAATATAGATGTAAATCGTTTGCCTTTTATCTTACATTAGCTTTAAATTTCCTATTTCAAAAAGTCGTATGATGTTATGTTTAGTAATTTTTCTAACACCGGCGTGAATATAATCAAAATTGAAATTCACTACATTCTGATCAGCAATTCGTTCACGCAAGCATCGTGCTTGCTTAACAATTTTCGGATACCAGGGTATAACGAGCGAATTTTACTCATATGCGACATTGACGACCCGAATAGCGTAGTGGGTAGTGCACCTGCCTCCTACGCTAGACGGTTGGGTTCGATCCCCACTACTGGAAAAATATTGTGTGATAAACATAGTATGTTTCGAGTGTCTGGGTGTTTATATATGTTTAATATGAATTTATTTACAAAAGAAAAGTATGTTTAAGTATGTTCATCAGTTGTCTAGTACCTATAGTAAGTTTCGCTTATTTTTCAAATCAGTGTTACACTTGAGCAGTTCTCATTTGGCTCGTCAAGCCGACATGCCAAAGTTAAGTGAGCCCCCTGAACTCTTAACTCTATCGTCTATTAACGCTTGCGATCAATCAATTGCGTCTATGCCTCGCTGCAGTTTCGACAGCCTGCCGTATCATGGACGTCCATCGGCTGTCGCCTTCGCCGTTAGGGGGCGCCACGGGCGACAGGACGCCGGGCGCCGTCCGAGCACCCGGATCGATACCGCCCGAAGCGCCCCGAATCGCTCCGAAGCCTCCCGAAGCCTCCCGAGGCCGCACGAAGTCATCCGACCTCTCCAGTGCGCGCACATGACAAGTGTCATCGAACGGCAGCCTGTGTTTTTCGGGCGCCGCTGAAAGCCGTGCAGTTACAGTGGGAAAGTGCATCACCAGAGTGATCCTGGTGGAAACCCGCTCAGCCGGACGTGACCGTCACCTCGTAAAAGGGCAACTTTGATTAGACACCGGCGTGAGTAGTTTTGATCCGGTTGTATTCTGTGGTGTATGTTTTGTTTGCTCCGTGTTCGACGCTTCTCATGAGTACTGTTGTTGTTTTGGTTTGGTGGACGGCTTTCGATGTCACACGTGGGACGAATTTTCACGCTTGATGGGATGTAAATGATGGTGTATTGTTTAATAGGATAGCGTTTTACCGCCGTTGATAGTCGCCGCGATGTGTTTTGTTTTGTTTTGCGATGTGTTTATTTTTCATGTATATTACGTATTTTTTTTTATTTTATGGCCTTATGGGAACGGGACATTTGTCATGAACGGGGGGGCGATTTTATCGATTGCAGTTTTTGCTTTTAATTGTGTTCCAGGGTCGGGCGCACTGCGCATGCCCCCCCCCGGGTTCGTGCTGCGTCATATCAATGTTTGATTAATTTGTGTTTTTAAAAGCGAATTAACTTATCTATCGAAGCCAAATGTAAAGAGTGTAGTTAACAATCATACTCTTTTTATTTTTAATTATATTATGATTATAAAGAATCTGAGTACCGTTCGTGTCTACGTTTTGTTTTCAAAGTGCATCACTCTGTCGCTCGAGTTTTCTCGAGCATTCAGCAACTAGCTCAGTAACAGTGCGGGTAAGGGTAATATATATTTCTTTACGTGCTTTACTTATATACAAACATGAAGTTTTCAAACTAAAAACAATGGACTTGCGGCTTTATTTAGATGATTCAATTAGCATATATTGTTTTAGTTACACCGTTTTATAGGTTATGTTCATTAGTGGAAGAAAATTTATGGCCACCGCCAGTGAATAATAGACGCCTGACATTTCAGTATAAATAGATTTACCTATAATACGCGCTCTCGGCCATGTAACTTAGTCGCCCGTTATGCCATTTGGCCTGCCCCAGCTATTTCTGTGAGCGCGCGCCCTTGACCGACATGCACGGCTAGCCTTGGAGGCAGCGCTGCACTGCGCCAGTTTTCCGAGGGCCCTGGAAATCGCCACGTGCCAGATTTCCGCGGCTCCGCCGTACGGCGCGGTGGAAATGCACGGCTCTACGAGAACTGGTCTCTTCGAAACTGTCGCGATCACAAAGGGTGAAGCTGAGAGGAAGCGAGAGGCCCACGAGCGAAAGGGACGGCTGCGAGTGCTATAAAAGCCTTCATATTAGTTCTTAATTTACTCAGTCAGATGTTACCAATATTATGGCCTAATTTTCACTGAATCTTGTTAATTTTGATTATTACATATTCTTCGCGGTTCTGTTGGCGGTGTAATTTAGCGAGTTCAAATACGAAATAAATGTTGCTCACACGTGGAAATTAAATGCAATTGGGCAAGTTTTCATACTTTGTCTAATATTTGTTTCACTGGTTACTCCGAAACGGTATCAAATACGTTAGATTACATTTCACAAAGTAGGGTTGAAAAAAAAAACAATGCAATTCGAAATTTTTGTGTTTTATTTGCAGACATCAAATTTACTTCCTTAAACGGTGATTACATTTGTGACTTAGTAGCATACTTGGATTAATTCAAGTACAATAAATCGAATTCGACTTTGCACTAAGTTCTTGCAAATCTGTTAATAATTAACACGACCTCACAGAAGATCGGCGTAATGTAGCGTTACACTTCTGCGTTTCGTCTGGTGAGTACTGCAACGCATTCACTACGCTGTCCATGTCATGTATGTCCGTGGGCGGCGGTTATTATTGAACATCAGGTGAACCGCCAGTTCATTTGCCACTTTTTCACACATAAAAAAAAAACACGTAATTGATCTTTCGAGCTGTTTCTGCAGGTTTGGTGGCACGGTGGAACTCGTATTAGTAAAAAATGCGGTATTTTAAGCTATATATTGCGAACAGACCGATTTCGAAGAAATATTAAATGGCGTGAAATGAAATGAAGCACTAAATTTAAAAAAAAATTAACGCCTCAATTTGACATTAAATTTAATTTTGAATTCCTAGCCAAACGCCAGATATTTGAGAGCAAAGTGGCCAGTTCGATAAAACGTCAATTTCATAATAAATGTAGGGACCTAACATAGTTAACGACAATAAAGTTTTATCTACAACAACGTAGCTAAAACATTTAGCTAAGTTGTCACGAATGTCAAAAAGTTTTGAAAACGTTAGAAAAGGTATCTTTTTCGGCAAGTTGGTAGTATGTTAATACGGTTTTTATGCATTCGTGCTAATATTCAAAATTTTGCACTCATTATAAGTAATTGACGATAAAACGTGTCCTGCTAGTAGAAATGCAAATGTTTATTGTAATTTATATCCTTAAGTGTATCCTTCCATCAAATTAAAAACGTGACTAGATTCAATTAATATTTGCATGAGGCAGATGTTTCAAACAAATAGACGGCGGATTTAATCGGTGTGATGTTAAATATAACGATTTAAATATGTTTTTGTTTTCTTTATTTTCATTATTTTTAACAGTTTCCAACGATGTTTCGCAACATGTGTCACTGCGCACGAACATCAGGGAATAAGATCCGGAAAAATTATCTGTGCCCTACACAAATACTAGTCCAGTATGGGAATAGAGCCATCGACTCACAGTGCCAAAGGCAACAGCTCAAGCCACGAGCCCACAGTTACTGTTCTCGTATATTGTTTGTGTTATTGATAAATATTGAACATTATTGATTGCACACGGTATAGGATAGTTAAAACAAAATCCATATTTTTGTGAATAATTTAATTGTCAAAAACGTAATATCGCTTTTATGTTAGAAGCATATCGCACACACACACGCACACACGTGCGCTACGTCCTACGCACACAACGCGGTGGTGTGCGCGTGCGCCCGACTGGTTCCTAGACAGTGGTGCGCGTACAGTTTCCGTCGCCAGAAAATATGTGACCCCGTAATCGGAGTTCGCGCCGGCGTCGCGTACAACAACGGCCGCAAACAACTTTCAAACTCACCACCGTTAACCTCTCGGCCGCCCGGTGCCGCGACCGTTGCCCAAGCGCCTTAAAAATTATCGTTACGCGCCTCGTCGAGTTCCCGCCCAATAAAAAAAACACGTAAACGTCTATGCTCATATGATAATGTCTATGGTTTGATCTTATGCGTTTTAAATCCGAACCGGCCACCACTGATGCAAAAGGCTACGGTACCGTAAATAGTACCACAGAGTGCGGTGTGTAATTAATTTAATTACTATTATTTTAATCACTAGTTATATAACTATCTTCATTTCTTCTGCCCTTATCCCACACTAGGTGAGGTCGACACAACACAACATGTCCTTTCCTTCCACTTTCCTCTATCAGCTATACTACATAATAAGAAAGCAATTTTTTAGTTAATGTACGTCATCTATATATGTACATCATGTATAATATACAAAAACGCAGTTTTTTAATGGTTCTTATTAAACTGGTAACATTTGCCAACTGACGTTTGACATAACATAAATTAGAGTTCCAAACTAAGCCATTAATTACTATAATATTTAATAAAGAATATTTGAATTTGATTATGACAGGATTTCTAGCGGCTGCAGTTTTTGGGGAAGTACGACGCGCGACTTTGGCGTGCGTTTTTCTAAACTCCATTGTCTTCATTGGCCGTCGCGATGTTTGCTCTCTAAATGGAATGTGTTAAATTTTATAATGTACCGGCAGATGTCTCGTCTCGCCGTTTTAATGGCGCCGTGGGAGGAAAAAAAGCACTATCAAATTTGTTTCTAACAAGAGAAAGTTAATAGATGAGGATATAATTTCTTACTACGTGTTAATTTTTAATATAACACTTCTTATTCTTAATGTGGGACATAGTTGTCCTTGTTCCGAAAATCAGCCCGGTTTAACATGAAATAATAGCAGTTATTTATCAAATTTTTATTAAAAAATACAAGCAGAATTTTGATTTTTTTAGAACATGACAAGAGAGGGTTTTTACGTCTCTTAATCTATCTGTTTATTAATGTACATTATAAAAATTAAATAGAATTAAAACATTGCTTATACAGTGTTGCACGTAAATGGGTCAACATGTCGTTTAGTTGAATTCAAAAAATCATTCATCGTGAGAAGCTTAAAGAGACATTAGAAATTCTAATTGCTAACACGCGGATACAGTTTTGTGCGGAAGAATAAATCATATTTCATATCTCCTGTAGTTATGAGTTTGGGGTTATCGTATTTGTTAATCGTTTGAAAAATTCGTTAATCGTTTCCGCGATAGCTCAGTGTCCGGGCACACGCCTTTAATTCACTATACTCGAGCAACTTGAGTTTGATCCTCGGTGCCGGCATCAAAGAAATATGTAACTTTAAGTGCTGACTTTATCACGTGCTCCGCGGTGAAGGAAGACATCGTGACTTTCGAAATAATAACAAAAATAAATACTTCGAAGATATGTAAAGTCCGCCAATGGAGGGGCCGCGTGGTGGACTATGCCCTGATACCCTCTTTACAAAGGAGGCCTTTGGCCAGCAATGGGACACGTATAGCTGTTACTTTACTTTTGCAATGCTTCAGTCACCTCTAATAATTGTTATGTCACGTCAAGAAGTATTAACGATCAATGCCGGCACAGTTCCACCTTACGCTCATAGGCAGCTTGCTTTCTATTTGGAATATTGTTAAGTTGCCTTACCTGTAATTTGAGATATGTCTCAGCTCCATTTCTTTGTCTCTTAACAAGTTAAGGCGTGCTTCGCCGCGACTTTCTTTTTGTTGTTCAGTTAGTTCATACGGTATCCACTTTTTTAACTTTTTAGGGCTACGTACCCAAATGATAAAACGGGACCCTATTAATAAGACTTCGCTGTCTGTCACCAGGCTGTATCTCAAGAATCGTGCTAGTTAGACAGTTGAAATTTTCACACATGATGTATTTTTGTTGCCGCTATAACAACAAATACTAAAAAACAGAATAAAATATATTTAAGTTGGGCTGCCACACAAAAGACGTGATTTTTTTTTTGCCGTTTTTATAGATGGTACGGAACCCTTCGTGTCGAGTCCGAGTCTCACTTCTCCGGTTTTTTATCTTTCCAATCTAAAGTAAGTTAATGAGTATTTGTATCACTTTGAACGCTGTCGATAATTCCGATTTGGTCGGGGATGAATACGTTCTGGCACGGGGCTCATTGTTGAGGTTAAGATCTCCTGAATAGAGGGGATGAAATCAAACACGCGCTATTCACTTGCAGGTCCATAATGGCCCTTGATTGGCTGCCTTATCTGTGCCCGACGGCCTTGGGCATCAACTCGTAAGACAATAACGCCAAATCACGATTATCGTCACAGATTAGGGATAAAAAAGAAAAAGGAACAACTACATGGAATGAACGATATCGATCTTTACGCTAGCCAGTATTATTTGAAGATTTCATAGATATAACGATACGCCATCGCGTCTAAAAAAAAACCTCTTTCCAAGCGTAGTGTTTATATGTATGATATATAGAAATAAAAGCCCTCACTTCGAACACTCCACGTTTTATCGAATGTAATAAGTTCAAATCGTAAACGATTTTTGTTGTTAAGAAATCACCTCCAATCGATTCGAAACTGCAGTCTATAGGGTCGTGTCTCAACGTCCCCAATCCCACCAAATCCCTAAAAAATACAGTGGAATTATATCTCTATCAATATTAAGAAGTAGGTATACTGCGGCATGGTAAGTTATTATTATTATTATTTTAACTGACATAAATAATTAAAGATACAAAGTAATAATTGTTTTTATTATTTTATTATTGAGAAAACCTTGCAGTATTTTCTTAGGCGAATCATACGTATGATTGCGGATTTTTTCGCGTTTCCAAACGATTCGTATATTTTGCAGCGTTTAATTATTAATCTTGCAACAAAACTGACTATTTCACAAGCCGGCTTCGTTGTTGTATATTAAAAAAGCTAACATATCTCTAGCGTCCATTAGAAGCGTTTATTCGCCGCAACTTGTGACATGTCGCAATCTTTGTCTATTATCTCGAGGTTTCTTGATAAACTGGCGCCGATTGAGTGTTTCTAGTGTCTTTCCGTGATGTTCTAGAAAGAAAACGTTCCGAATAGTGCACGGAATAATCTCGACAACTCTCCCATTAACGGCAATTATGGAACATCGGCGGCGTTTTTAATTTATGCTAAGAGAGTGGATCCCGGTTGTTGACTTTTAGAATGTTGTTTCATCTCCTCTAATTAAATGCGAATACTCGACCGGTGCCATATTGTATGCGCGTCGGTAACGTCTCCCGTAGACTGTGTAGCCATATCTGTGATTTTACCGTCAAAACGGGCGTTTTCGTTTTCTCCAAAATGTAGTTTTTAATTTTTTTATTTACAATTAAAGCATTTTATAAAAAGTTGCGGACAATAGATAAAATATTAGACGCAATATAATTAATACGCAAAGAAAAAAATTCAGTCCTCTGCAGCGGTTCTCGATTCTTCTAATCTCTGTTTTTCAATAATTTTTTGCACATTTGTTAGCGCATTTATTTCTTAGTTTGCGTGTCCAATTTACCATTTACGATGTTCTTATAATGGCGGAATCTTTCTCTCTTTAGACCTTTTTTCCACTTCGGCTTAGTCCAATCTTAGTTTCCTGTCCAACCTATTATGCTTTGTATCTTGTATTAACTGATGTTTTTGCTTTCAGTCCCGAGACTATTAAAGCTTCATCTGACGCAGAACCGGTGGGCTAGCCAGAACCCACGGGTTTGGGTTGTACCTACTACCAATCGTTATTCGTTGAAGATCATTTTTTTTGATATTATCGCCCGGTATTAAGGACCTTTAGGCCAACGTTTAAGATCAATTATACGGAAACTATTTCAGGAAAAATTGGCAAATCAACCACACCTGTTGTAAACCATGGACAATTTTAACAATGCCAGATTAATTAAATAAGAAAAAAAAATAATTATATCAACTGTTAGTATTAGTATACTATTAATATATTTGGAATTTCTGGGACTTCAGTAGGTGGTCCCATCATAGCATTTGTGGCAACACCTCTCCCTAGTCGTTTTTTCTAGTAGTTGGGTCGAAATTATCTCGCGAAGGCGATAGATTCTCGGTTTGTTGAGTAGGATAAATAATTAGAATCGCATACGCGGACATAAACATTTTTATTTATCGCCTTCATTAGCGTCGATACACTAAATGCATTATCTTTCATTCCAGTCCCAATTTTATAACTGTAATGTTGTTAGTATGTGTGAATTATGTGGGCGCATTATGTTATCAAATCTCTTAGCTCACGTTTCCTTTATAATTGATACCTGTACAACGTCTTTTCTTCATGTTTGTGCACAACTTGTGATAAAGCACTTAGGAACATTTTATATAATTATAACATGTTTGATTGACAATTATCTATATATTCAATGACTTGCAAATCTTTCAACTGTGGTAGGGCGACGCAACAGTTTTCACTGTTGCACGAATAGGCAAGTCCGTCCGGGTACCACGACCTCACAGAAGACCGACGTAAAGTAGAAGTGTTACACTTCTGCGTTTCGTCTGGAGAGTGAGTTAGCCGGGGCACACTTTATAAGGTTTTTTGATTTTTCAGGGTTTTTCACGCCTATCAAAATTTGTTATAGACAAATTTTGATAGGTTCGGTTCGGCTAAAAACTTAATGCCTGGAGTTTGATGGTGGCGATATTATCACGTTTTAGTGGCTATATCGAACTTCGCCGTAAATACATGCTTAGACTTACAACTTACTGAAGGTGTTGTTTGTGTCATATATCTATATGCAATACCTTCTACATGTTTATCATTTTTTAAATTAAATATGTAATGTTTTTTTTTATAATAAATAAATGCATTTAATCTACAATAAGGTACACTTTATAAGGTATTCACACACCTATAGATATATTATAGGTAACACCAGTATACTTTTGCGAAATATTATATGTGATAGCCGCCATTTGGCAATGGCTGCATTCAAGTTTAAAAAGTCTAGTTCAATTAGCATAAAAAATATCGCAGGGCGCCAAACCGTTATGTATCGCAGACAACAAATTTCAAACTTAAGGCTAGTCAGTCCGGCACTATGCATATGCAGCTTAACCGGCCATTGGTGGCTTTTAACATTAAAAATATGTTTTTTTTTTGATAACGCTGCGTCGTGTTAAAAACACGATGATCGCGAAGGTGCACCAAACAATGTGAACGACCCAAAGGCGGAGTGTGACCAGCTACCAGGCGCCATCGAGGACCGGTCGTCGAATAGTTATCGCTTATTACGTGGCCATATCTCATGCGTCGACCACCCATTCACAAAACGGGCGAAATTTGCATCCGATTCTATTCAATTCGCTAATTATAGCGGATTCTAGATATCTATATAGATAAACGAAATTGGTGTGTCCGTTTGTAATATTAAAATTACTGCTTTTCACTAAATTTATATTTGTATATACACGGAACATATACCAAAATAATATGTCCCGGTTTATATCTGAAACGGCAGGACCGATTTTGACGGGATTTTCACTGGCAGAATTCAAAAGGAGGAACTTTAATTTTATTTTAGAAATTTTATTTATTTTAAATTTCACGCGGACGAAGTCGGCGGCACAGCTAGTTTTTATATATATATTTGTCGTCTTACAGTTGAGTTTCTTTATCTGTGGTGAATTTCGAATGCATTCGAAATGTCTTTTGTGTAATTTTTATTAGGACAATATTTAATGTAAAAAAAATATTTTGCGGAGTTCAGTAATATTATGTATGTATGCATGTCTGCCGTGTGGTTGTCGTGTCATTTAGTTGTTGTATATGATGATAAATGAGGGAACTATTGGATATTACTTAAAATCTTTTACATTAAAGTTCTACGATGTTAAATCATGGAATTATGAAACGTTAATGATATTTTAATATCAATGACATTACTAGTTTTACCAGTATTATGGTCCATGCTCTTTTTTCAATATAAAAGTAGCAGATTTTCAAAAGTTTTAAAAATAGGATGAAATTTTAAATTCAGTTGTATTTTTTGTTCGTTAACTCAGGAACTCCGTCATTTATGAAGCGATTTCGAAAATTATTTTCGGCTTGGGTTTGTTTTAGGCCCAACCTGGTTTTGGATTCATTGGTATTGGAAGATACACTCGAAGATCCATAAGGGAACTTCTCAAAATCGAATAGAAAATGTATAGTGAACGAGATATTTCAAGTCGGTTCTGTTTATTGTTAATAATAATGTAATTGTTCAATATCCTGTTCCATGTTATGTAAATGATATTTAAAATTTTAAATAAATGTTAAATCTGGCACTTAGTACATGTAGGCCGCACATTACCCCATTTTCCAGATAAATAAATAATTCGTGGATTTTGGAGTTTGAGCTCAAATGCGATTGTTGTTTCGCACAGCTGACAATACACATACTACTCATTATTCATTTTCTATTAAGTGCAAAGTTGTCAAGCGATCAGGTAAGTAAACCCGATGTTAAGTGAATATCGCCGACACTCAACTTTTCTTTCCTAAGGAAGGTCAGAATAGTCCGGAGAAATACCACGAACACACAGAACACCGGCGTGTAGTGGAAGTGTTATAGTTCTGCGTTTCGTCTGGCGAGTGAGGTAGCCGGGGCCGACTTTATTATAGGCCAGCAATGCATCTGCAACTCTACGGGCCTTGCTAAAGTCTACAGTTGTCGCTCAACGTCAAGTGAGCCGCCATCTCGCTTGCCACCTTCTCACATAAAAAAGAGATCTTTTTGTATGTGAGAAGGTGTATCTCTTGTCTAAAAGGCTGGCAACGCGTTTGTAAGCCCTCTGGGCGGCGGTGATCACTCGCCATCCGGTGAGCCTCCTGCCCGTTTGCCGCTGGTTTCCCAGTAAAATAAAAAAAAGAGTTCGTAATAAAATTTCGTTTGTCCGTGTGTGCAGCGCATCGAAGCGGCCCCGGGTATGAGTTGCGCGGCGGCATGAGCGGTGCTCGCGCGCACGACCCCCGCGAGCCCGCGCGCGCACCCTCTCGCGCCCACCCCCACGCGCAGCAGGTAACTTGTACCCTTGGCAGGTCTGCTGACTCTTAGCTACCCCTGACTGGAAGCTTGAGAAGGCCCGCAACGACCTTCGGACCACGGCCTTTGGCTATTGCACTCTCAGAGCTGTGTGGTGTTAAGTTCAGAGGTACCACCAAGAACTGTCCTCGGACCGATGCAAATTGCAGCCTGTATTGTGCAAGAACATTTCCTGAAAGGGGCTAAAGGCCTTAGCCGGTCTTACTTTTAAACATCTATCGTAAGCTCTTCTTTTAAACATCTATATTTCAATATTACAGGGCTTAATGATAAATGGGTCGGGGAGTCTTTTCGTATTTTGTATATATGAAGTTATAGTAAAATATCTTGGTTGTTGTCCGGTTTTGGAGCCATTACCATATGACATTAAAAAAAGAAAAATCAAAAGTAAAATACATATTCCCCGCCATTTTTCAATAGCTTTTCTGTCCATCAGAATTAATGTATCTATCGAAGAAATATCGAATAAATTTTAAAGTTTTATCACTATATTCACATATATTTTAGAAAGATACGTTTATTTGTTAGAACATAGTACAATATAGGTCTTAAAATCTGTGGATCCTTTATGTTCTACCATTTCTGGTGTACAAATATTTCATTTTACATTATAAACATACAAAAAAAAAAACAAAACAAAACAAAAGTAAATATAATCTAGGAAAACTGTTTTTATAAAATTTTATCATTTAAATAATCCCCTGTGGAATAGTAACATTTATTTATCACAAACTTTTTAATCTATTTGGTAATTTATTATATATTCTAATGGCCATACAATAACAGTTTTTGCTAGACATTGTGGTACAATGGGGAGGCATGTGTAGTTTGTTCGAGAATCTACTATTTCGATTGTTTATTTCTAAATTACTTTTAAAGAGGGTCGGATGTTTATGAGCAAATATGCAAATTTCGAAAATGTATAAACAAGGTAGCGGCAGAATATGGTGTTTTTTAAATAGTGGTACACAACTGTCTAAGTATTCTGCGCCACTTATAGATCTGATACATTTTTTTTGCACTCTAAAAGCTCTTATAATTAAACGTTGAAAATACATTTCTTGAATTTGTATATGAAATACGAACAAACTTTTTCCCCGACCTATAATGATTGATTATTTTTGTCGCGTACGTTGAAAGAACTTCAAGTGAGTAGCCATATTAAAGCTCTGAGGATCTTCAATGGTGGGAAAAAGCGGCCTGGTTCATGTTATCCCTTCGTTGTTAATGGTTCTGATTACGAGCTATATAGATAGAGGACCCATGTTTTTCAAACCTGTCTAGAGTATCGTGGAAACTATTTTCCAACGAAAAATGACGCTGTGGCGCCGTTACCAAGGTATTGGCTTCGGCGTCGAGGGTCGCGGGTTCGATTCCTGCGACCCACAGACAGTTGCTTCGGATCCACTTGATATTTATGTATGTAAAACGTCGTCCTTTCAATATAGGATAATGTTAACCTACAGTAAGGGGAAAACCTTTTCGAAGGGAAGACTACAATAGGTCGCTCTAGGTTGCATTGGTCGTTGGAGCTTACTGCCCAATCCCTTCCACATAAAAAAATATAAATTGTCCGACGAAGGCGGATTTATATGGACTGCAAAACTTACTAACTATTTGTCTGTTCCTTTCTCGCAAGATCTTTGCGACAGATATATATGGATATATATTATTATACCTAGGTCTATGTATATGGGCATAGGACTATGATATTTATTTCTATATCTGTTTGTAGAGACCTTAAAACAGTTTAGCCCATTCAATTGAAGTCTTGCGTTGAAGAACATGTTTGTGAATACCTTGACATGTACTATATAATGTGTATGCTAGTGTTATTATAATTTGGATGCAAAAAAAACGGTTTTTTTTTTGCATCCAAAAAGATACATTTTTTATTTTATATACCAGTATTTATATGAAAGTGACACTGTAGGGGCAAGGCGCACAATAAATGTCTTTTAAAATATCGTTTCGTTATATAGAAACACAACCGAGAGAAATTGCCCGTGTGGCATTGTATTGTAATTCCTGCACGTGGATAGCTTGGTTGTTCTGTTTTTATAGAAAGTTAGCTAACCGCCTTTGACTTTAAAGGCGTGGTTCATTTGCGTAGAGGCATATGCGCCGCTATGATCCGTTATCGCGTTATTATGTCGAATGAAAGGATCGCCGGTAACAATTAAGCGCGTGCGCCGATATGGCTGACGCTAAACGCCATTCGCGGACGTTTGCGCCACCCACGCGCGCCCGCTTAAGGGGTAGATGCCTCCGGTGCATAGTAAGATTTCTAGTTGGTTGTTGGATATTTTCTTGAGGTGTGGGTTACATCTAATTTGCAATGAACCGTTCATCTCTCATAACAGATAGTAGCATGATACAACTATTCTTTGGTACTCTGCAACCTATATAACGAGATGACCATGATGGTCAACTTGTCTTGGGGTAGGAAACTTTATCGTGATAGTAAGAGTAACTAAAGTATGGTTAGTTACTTATGATTTGTGCATCTATCTTTCCCTAATATCCCTTCCTATCCCTTTCTCTATGATACGTTTAAACTTTTATAAAATATTAAAATCTAGATCGGCGCAAGGTCTTCAAAACTTACAGTTGAAGTCTTATTAAATAGCTCCTAACCTCATTTGGTACAGAATACGTGTTTGTAATAGCCCAATACGGAGCGAAACACTTGCTAGACCTTCCTATAGATCTGTAAGAAGTCTTTTCTATTTCAAAGATCGACATCACATTTGGATCTCGTCCGGTGAACATTGTCTCCTTTAACTGCCATTAAAGCATAAGTAGCCGATGGATAGAGTAATCAGACTACCAAAGGAAGCGCGGTGTGGCATTAACTATCTTCAACTACACTTCTATAACGTAATTTACGAGTAGAGTTTGGTTAGCGCCTTCTAGAGTCAATTTACGACAATTTTGTAAAGACCTTTAAAAACCATGTATTTCACCACCTTTCACTTTCTTTATATTCATCTTGTTTTATTTTATTTTAATAAGAGTAATATGTTGAGTTCGATCTTTCGATGGAGAGTTTCAACTTAACGGTGTCGCCACGTCCGTTGTCGAAGCAATTAGGACGTTCGTAGAGAATTCGTGAATTTCGCGCGATTACTCGCAATTATAGCGTACGTATATGGCCGTCCGTCGTCTAGGTGAACGCCAATTAATTCGTCGCCCAAATTGAGCGGCCGTTTGCTTCGAATGCGCGGCGTTGTAGGTTTTAATGAATTCTATTGATGACGAGTGAAGATGAAGTTTTACAATCAATCAACACGTTGATCTTTACACACAAGAACTTACTATGTACCCTCCAATGAGCACGATCATCAGCGATGCTAAGTCGCTGGGTTTTAGGGACCAGTCTGAAAATGGATCTCCACCGGCTCTGCGTCCAATGTAAGCTTTTTCAGTCCACGGACTTTAAGCGTGAACTCCATTAGTCAAAAGTCAAAGCGGTCAGGCGTCTTCGAGCAACACGGAAGCGCCCTCCGGTGCCTCAATTTCGCTCTAGTTCTGCGTTAGTGCCCATTGTGACCCCATGCTTCTTGGCGATGCCCCCCCCCCCATTACCCTCCCCCCCCCGCGCGGTCGCCTTGTGGGCGTGTCCGAGTGCGCAGGCGCAGCGCTCCGTGGAACCGGGCAAGGTCGACGTGGTCGCCCGCAGCATTGGCCGAGTGCAGGCTGAACGCTGATTCGCGTCGCTCCGTTTTGTGGGGGGGTTTGTTTACACCTCGACGGTCGCGTGCAAGGAATGCGGGGATAACGGCGGTCCCTGGGGCAGTTGCGTTGGCGACTTTCCGCGCGACTCGCTCGATTCATTTCTATGCTCTCGACATACACTATTTTCAATTGTTCTTAAACTGAGCTGAATTATGGACACAGTAGGAATATAACAGCCACCGGTACGCAAGTAAGCGGCCCCTATTTTTACTCCAAAAGGGTATTTTATCAAGCGTTGTCCATTACTGGAAAGTTCGTAGTTATGGCCAATGCTGATTGTGCCATAATGGGTACTCGTAAATCACTGTGACAACTGTGACCGAATCATTCCCCAATCAAGTTATTCATGCAGGTATTTCCAAGATTTAAGTGAATTATCATTATTCAGTTTACATTAGCACAGATTAAATAACCTCGATGGCTGCTGTTGCGTCATACAATACCGATTTTTCGTATCGATTACGTTCACTCGGAGACGTAGCTATCGATAGCATCGGTAGCACTATGTGCGCGGAATATTGTTAGTACCTTCCAGATATTCAGGTTTTTACGCAATTTTTAATTCAGCACTTGAAATTCGGAATCAAACCTTCATCTCTGCCGGCGCTGACTAGATTTGAACACGAGGTGAACGCTGAACCGTTAAAACACTCGAGCTGGTTCCAGCTCGGTCCGGATCGGCCGAGGGGCTGGCACGCCGGCGGCTCGGCTACTCGTGCCCCTTTGCGTTTTTACCACGGTTACGTAAGAATAGCGAACATAACTGTGCAACGGCGCGCCGCCGATTGTCCGACGCGCTTCTCGGAAAGATCCGCGGACGCATAATAAATCGCGACGGCCCATCCGACCGGCCCTCGTTATGCTACGGGCCTACATTCCGCCCGCTCGCGATTTGCCGGATAAAAAGGTCGGGGGACCTTGGGCTAGCGGCTCGGCTCGGTTGGGAGTGGACACGACACGCAACGGAGAGGCTTGCTCGTGTAGAGACTCAGACGAGGCTACATTGGCCATGTAAGCTTTTAATGTTTAATTTTCTCAGCTGTTATGCGTAATTCAACCAGATAATTATGATGAAGAATGTCAACAGGCATTAGGTCCGTCCTTTACAACCTCACTGAGGTGTTTTCATTAAAGAATAAATAAAATAAATATAAATAAAAAATGCATTACAAGGTTAGGGACAACATTAGTTAGGGAAAAATACCCTTAACAACATGATTTGCTGCAAAGACAGAAGAAAGAAAGAGATGGTTATACCAGTAACCTGAAGACATTATCTTTATGATGGTAGTACTTTGGTGACTCTTCTGTCGCAAGTTTATATTATGCAAATGGATTTCTATTTTTGATTGCTACTTTAGAAATGTGAGCCTTTGTGTAAGCAAGACTGACTACGAGTACCTCGCCGTTTTGTTTTGGGTTTATGGCAATGAGGAGATCGAAGCTCACCATATTAAACGTAGCTACGCTTTTGCATTCTCTCTTATCTTGCAGATGGCCAAACCTAGTTGTTATCATGTGCTATCAGGCTTTTATTCTTTTTCCGCCTTCAAGATTTCGGATCCCTACTTGTCGGCTCGATGCCCTTCCTTTCGGAAAGTTGTAGACACGCTTCGACTCCACCGCCGCCGCTGTTCGCGGGTGGCTTCGAACCCGCGCCCGGCCCGTTCCCAGCGACACTCGGCGACGCGACACAAAACGAAAACGCGCGCGCACCGCCATCGGCTCCATTATTGCGGGCATTTTTCTAAATCAATTAAATCGGGGCAAGATGGCCGCCGTGCGTCTACGTCCACGGCTTTTTCGGGCGTCCATTAGAATGTTATACTGTTATTATTAGTCGCGCATAGTGGGCCCGTAGCGGGAAGTTCTGTTTCGGTTTCGCTTTTTGTGCGCGCCGCTCGCGGTTCTTTTGGGATGGTGCTAAGCAAAAGGGCTGAATACGCCAACACTGTTTCGGGCTCAAATTGTTGATTTATTGCGTTGTCCGTTTCTGCTTACAAGGTCGCTACTCTTTCGACTTATCTAATCTGTTTTCAAGGCTGCTTTTTCTCCTGTATTGAACAGACATTTACTTTTTCTCCCGTATGTCGCATTTGGGACCGAACAGCGTTCAGTGGTTAGGTTAAAGTTTCCATTTCCACCCCGTAATAGTGTAAAAAAGTGAAGCCTGCTGTTGCCTTTAGAATTTAACTTTTCAAGATCGAAATCGATTTAATCTTTGTTAGTTTTTTTTTTTTATGCGAAAAGTTGTCAAACGAGCAGACGGTTCACCTGATGTTAAGTGAATACCGCCGCCCATGGACATCTGTTACACCCGAGGGTTACAGATGCGTTGGCAACCTTTGGAAAATTGGGCTCCGGCTACCTCACTCACCAGACGAAACGCGAAAGTGTTTGTGATACTTCCACTTTACGCTGGTCTTCTGTGAGGTCGTGGTACTTACCCGGACGGGCCTGCCCATTCGTGCAACAGCCGAGGCTGCTGCGTGGCCCTACGTAGTAGTTCGTGGATTAAACGAATTAATTTTTAAACGAAGAAAGAATTCTATCTGTTAATCCAGATTTTATTCAGATACGTTCCACCACCAAAGAGGAGATAATGTACGGTCTGCATATCATACCCCAATGACTGACAACCCGTCATCGTAGATGTCCACCAATAAGCTGTTAAATGGATTTCAAATTTCATCAGTGTTTCAGAAACCGGGCGTAAGAGTCAATTCAAGCTAGGGGAATCTGGCTGTTCCAGGAACTCTGTGTCATATAAATCCTTACCGCCCGAAAGTAAGGACAGCAGTAATTTATTAGCTTATAAAGGGAGAGGTGAGGTCGATTTTCAAATTTTAGTGCGATATTTATTAAACATTGCTTAAAAATTTTATAAAAATGATGTAGAATAAATACGTTTTAAGTTCGTCTCTGTGACGATAAGCCGTTTAGCTCGTGGCTAGAGCGATGGGCGAGTAACCTAGAGGACGCAGTTCCAATTCCTCGTAGCTGCGAAAGAATAACTATCCATTTTTCTACATTTTTTTTAAAATTTCACCTTAAGAGCAGAGAATAGAACTATAAAAATTAATATTCATTAAATAATATTGCATTATGATCAGTTTACGTTACGATTCTTTCACATGTTTAACATTGAGAAATTTTATGGCGGCAAAGAATTCTCTCGTCTCTTTTGATAAGTACCACGCGATGTAAATAAAAGGATTAATTAAATGTAAATTGGCAGTTTTTATTTCGTGGATAATCTAAAGACATTTATCTGTGAAACTAGTGGACTTGTCACCTGTGCTCGACATCGTTAAGCTATGCTAATTAGCCTACTTGCTAGGCTTGTTATAACCCATCTCTATTACTCTCATGCATTCTTTAGGTTTTATAGAGTTACTGCTGCCCGCACAGAAAGACAGATATACATAAAATATGTATATAAATTATAGACTATGTCTTATTCTGATGTATAAGCGATATAATTGTAAATTTTCATTAAAATCCATTCAGTAGTATTTGCGTGAAAGAGTAACAAACATCCATCCATACATACAAACTTTCGCGTTTATAATGTTAGTAAGGATTTTATGCAGTACCGTGGAGATATTTGAAACACCGTGAGCTATGAGAGATTCTTCGTGTGTACCGTACAATGTAAACGTAAGCGTTCTTAAGCTTCATATAGTAGTTGTTAAATCGATAGATTTGTTTCAAATACTTATCTATATGTATATAATGATAAATGGTAGATGCCAGGTTGAAGTCTATAGTAAGAGTCTATACCATGTAGGAATTTTGAAAATTGAAGCTAACGTCAACAGAACGCGGTTAGCAGGATCGTTAAAAGGGGATCGTAGCCCATACGATTATTTTGTTAATTATTTATTTCAATAGTTCAATCATAAAACGCAGTATTTAGATTGACTATGAGTCAGTAAGTAGCTGTTAATTTAAAATTTAACTCGGGGATTTAGCAAATTTTCATCAGAGCCCACACACAATAGCAAGCGTATAAGGTGACTTACAGGGTTGTACATTGAGGGCGACAGACGAGCAAAAGCAATATTTCACTCGTTTGGGAAGATCAGATGACGGTTAGGATATAAATTTATGATAGTACAATAGCCAAGTTGACTGTGATGTTCCTACTCGTATATATTTATATTTACTATTCTTCATTTAGAATCCGATAGCTCCGATAGCTTCCTTCATTAGAATACAGTAATTTCTCAAATTATACCACACCTGATAATAGAACAGAGCCATGTACTTTGATTACGTAATTGAGATAAGATATAAAAAGAAATAGCAACGGTGGTAGGGCCACGCAGCAGCCTCGGCTGTTGCACGAATGGGTTGACTCGTCCGGGTAAGTACCACGACCTCACAGAAGACCGACGTAAAGTGGAAGTATAATACTTTTGCGTTTCGTCTGGTGAGTGACGTGGTCTGAGCCCTATTTTCAAAAGGTTGTCAACGCATCTGGAACCTTCGGGTGTAGCAGATGTCCATGGGCGGCGGTATTCACTTAACATCAGGCAAACCGTCTGTTCATTTAGCAACATTCACATAAAAAAAAACGAAAGAGACCAAACTCAAATAAGTCTTTGATGTTTGATTGTTTTTAACCGACTTCAAAAAAGGAGGAGGTTTCTCAATTCGACTGTATATATTTTTATTTTTTTATGTGTGTTCGGGGCTAACTTCGTCATTTATGAACCGATTTTGGTGATTTTTTATTTGTTGGAAAGGAGATATCCCGAGGATGGTACCATTATAAGGAAACCCAGATCTGATGATGACATCCCACAGAAATCAAGGGCAATCCTGAAATGTTAAAGGTGTTGACAATGCTTTTAGTTTCCTGAAGTCGGTTTTTTTTTGTTCAAAATTATGTTATCTTGCGCTACGCTCAATAATTTGATACTTACGTGTTTGTAAAATAACTATTTACGGGATAATGTCAGCCGGCATAGGCGAAATGATTAAAACTAACTAAAAACTCTGCGTTTTCAATGACGTGATGCCATCTGGAAGTGTTGCCGTTTTGAAAAGAAGTCGGCGAGAGCTGCACCCACGGGATAGTTTGAAATGCGTCGAGTGAAAATTTCACAAAACGGTAACATGGAGCGACGCTGATGCCTTCCGGGCGATGGTAATAAAAGTGCCCACACGCGGCCTAATGAGCCGGTGTGATTTAGTGCCAATAAATTGTCCCACTAGCGAGCAATCGCCATATATATGCGACGTGGGCAAAGTTAGACACGATTCGTCAATTTGCGCGTGCGGCTACATACGTTCCTATGGCTTGTTAGGCTCAGTGGATGGGCTAGAGGAACGCATCACGGGTTCAATTATAACGTAGTTATCCGATTATAACGTAGGCGTCTTCAAGGCGAGAGTGAATAGGGTTTTACTGAGCTAGCGCGCTTACCATCCACGGCTGCATCGCCACTTACCATCAGGTGGGATGGCAGTCAAGCGCTAGTTAGTTCCATATAAAAAAAAAATAAAAAAAAATTCTCACCCGGGTCACGTATCTGTTTATGTGTAATGTTGGCCCTAATTCTAATTCCAGATAACGCACTTTCAATAAAAAGGATTGTGAATGTGCTATTCTGTATGGAAACATCCATGATTCATTTATATCAATTTGTTTTATATTTAGTTTTGAAAGTTTATGTTTATCTAAGTGGGAATGTCAGTGCTCTGTGACAGTCGCGAAGTCGCTCTGAATAAGTTTAGTGAGACGTGGTTAAAAGTGCAAAAGCATGTTACTTAAGTTTGTTGCTTGTTGAGCGTTCCAGTGGTGCTATGCTTTGAGAGAATTTGTGATTAATTTTACTCTTGTGTGTATTAATTTTACTTGTGTGAGTAATTTTACTCTTATCCTGTGAGCATCTCAATGTTCATTGTTATGTGAATTTTCATGTCTTTTAGACTTAATCCAATATGATCTGGTATACGAAGTCCACCTAGATTTTTTCTTTTTTTAGGGCTCGGCATCCAAAGGGTAGTACGGGGCGTTATTACCGAGACTCCGCTGTCTGTCTGTGTGTCTGTATGTCTGTCCGTCTGACACCAGGCTACATCTCATGAACCGTGATAGTTAGGCAGTCGAAAATTTTCTTTTTAATTAAAATTATTTCTGTTGCCGCTATAACAACAAATAGTAAATACAACAGACATGATTTAGTTGCCGTCTTTATATATGTATGTAACCCTACGTGCGCAAGTGCGTCTCGCACTTGACCGTATACCAAAAACTTATTACTTTTTCAAATTGTCTATTTTTTTTCTTCTTTAATACGTCAGTGTCTATTTAGGAAGTTGAAGTTTCTATTTAGCAAGTGTACCTTTAAATATGGTAACTGTCAGCTTAAAAGAAATATGTAAATCCTTTACTTATTATTACTGCTGTTTGTCATGTCGGTAATCCTAAATAAAGTAAATAAATGTATAAGACCGAATAGTAGATTCTTGACTTACTAGGCGTGTAATATTTAGATTTGTTTATTATAATACTTCAAGGAAACGTTAGTTTTTGTTCTTATTTCCTTCGCAGTACAGCCTCGTAAGCTTAAAGCGTCTACCGTCATTAAAACGTACCGCGCGCGGTTTGAATACGCCTAAGCTCGCACTATAGCTGTTTGAGTGCAAATATTCCGGACAATTTATGCACCGCGGCCATTTTTATTGTATCGGTAATTTAGAGGACAAGCGGAATGGTAAATCAAGTGGCGTTTTT